AGGAGATCTGTAAAAAGCAGCAAGAATTACTTCTGTGGGCTGTAATAATGTGTAGCCACCCAAAACGTGAAGCAGTTTTAGCTGCTTGTCTTCAAACTCTTCTTTAAATTATGAAAACAAAGAAAGAGGCCTTAGTCATCCAGGAGGATTTAATGAGATATTGCAGACTTGTTCAAGCTTAGCATTTGGTGTAAAGTTGCAGCTTGTAGTGTTCAGTTTGTCTGTGTTCCCTTGCCTTTGTTTTTTTTCCCCCTCGCATTGTATTTATGCTACTTCTTTCTCATGCTCCACAAACTGTTTTTATTTGTGTATTTCCTTGAAATCTTGCTTTGTTAGAAAACAACATGTGGCGAAGTCTATTGATATAAACCAGCAGATTATTGAGCTGTTTTTTAAAAGAGGCTATTTTTTGTTGAAAGGCCATGGTTACTATAGAACAGAGTTCACAGAGGTAGTAGTACCCTTTTATCTGCTGAGACTTTTGCTCTCATAATATCTTCATTAGATTTGGCCAAGTTACAAATGACAAAGTGTAGCAGGTCTTGGTTGCCTGATTTGGTGAGAGAAGTGCCCCGTGGCAAAGGGAGTGTAGAGGAACCCATCAGCACACTGTGTCTGCTGACACAGCTGCTTGCCAGGCTGGAGAAGAGAGTCATCCTGGACTGAAGATGTATTGAGGAGTTTGATGGGGCTATGAGAAAGTTCCTGATCCAGCTCCTCCAAATACTGCAGTATCACTTGCTGTTTAGTCCTTGTAATTCCACCAAATAAAATGACCAACAGAATTTTTAATTTAGAGTGCTTCTTTTTAAAGGTAGTTCCTGGTTTTGTATTAGCTAAACAGAGGAAGAGCTGGGACCACGTTTGCTCAAAGCCACAGAATAATGTGGCCGTGCCTGTGAAAGAAAAACAGCAGTGGGTTTTTGGTGACCTGCTGACTCTGTATTGTGAAAACTGTAACTAATCAGGATATAGATTTAGTGGGTACTTACACTTAAGAGTGCTACAACATTGTCTGCAAGACGCAGTGAGAAACCGCCTCCTGAGTTGATGCTATTACTAAAGCCCTTTCTGAGGCTTCTAGGTGAGGTCTGAGAAGGTGGAGTTAGTTCTTGAGACATCCCATGGCTGGTAACTCAGGGTCTTACTGCAAGACATTGGTTCTCTCTCTACTCCATGGTTCTTCAGAGCAAATTAATGAAGGCCCCATGTATGGCCTTTGCAGAGACTTAATTCAGTCCCAGTAGCAGCACAGTAGTTTCTGGCACAGTTTGCCAGGCTAGAGGTAAACATCATTAGCAAACTGTCATCCTCACCTTTGGCACTGTTCAGGCTCAGTCCAGTTGGCTCCTTCAGCATAATTAGGTTTAATTAGGTTACACCTCAGCACTGATGGCAGAGCTCCACTCAGTTGTTTTCTTAGTACAAGGTGACCTGGTGATAGGCCTTAAATCTCCTTCTCAATTTGTAGCAATTTTGAAGTTTTGGGCTGTTTGAGAGTTTGATTCTGAGGGAAATGCAATCATAAAGGTTGATTGTCCTTCCAGACTTAGATGGGACTCAAAAGGGATATCTTGAGTTCTGATTTTTTGAAAGAAATTAACAAGCAAAGAGAGAAAACACTCTGTGTGGTTCTTTAGTGGAATTTTAACAGGATGTTTCTCCTCTACCCTAGTCTCACCAAATGCAGTAAGATTGGTATTTACCCTCTTTACATGTAAATGTGAAATAACAAGCTGAGCACTTTTGCAATCCCCTTTTATCCTTCTGCCTGGCTTACTAGTGCACTTAATGCCACAGGTCAAAGTTGAGAAGCAGAACATTATTCTTGGCTGGTGATGGTCAAAGTCTGATGTTGCTCTGCCATTAGCAGGGGAGGTGATGATGATTGACTTCAGCATGGATAGAGAATCAAACCTGTAACTTCAGTCCACAGGTTGCAAATGGTGTCATGGCTTAATTCCCTGGAATTGCACAATTTGATTGTGACTTCCTGGGCATGCTGTCAGGGTGTCAGACATGTGGCATTGAAGCTACTGTGCTGGGGTAGTTAGTGCAGGTAAGGGACGTTTGAGTAGAGGAGCTTTGTGTTACCTGCCTACAGGAGGGTTCAATGCTTCATCAGTTAGCCAGCCCTTTGCTCCATTCCTCACTGTTGTAGCTACATTGCTAGAAGTACCTCAGAGTGCTCATTGAAACACAGCTGTGTATTCTTACAAGCAGGATATGTTAGTGTGAATCATTATTAACCCTGATAGCTGCTGAAAATTTTCCTTTTTTTTTCTATTTTATTACATATTACCATCACAGAGTGCAGAGAAACAACCTCTGTGTTTTGTCTGGCGTGGAAAAATGTTGCTAGGTGATAGTTCCATTTTCATAAACTTTTAGGAAAAAAAATAACTTCATTGTGACACTTGGCTTAATGTAAGAACCACTTGAACCTGCTTTTTCTAAAAAGGAAAAATAATAACGTACATCTGATTGATTAATTTATGTTATCAGCACAGTGCTCAATATTCTGGAGGAGGAAAAGATAAGTCACATTCAGACTCAAATCAGGTCTCCAAATAGTAGCAGGAGGTGCTTACTGCCTTCTTGCTTAAATCCTAGATAATAAATACATTTGGATTAGTGGGATGACAGAGAGATTATAATATTATCATGCTCCAAAATAAATAACACTGCGTTCAGTTGCCTTCTCTTTACATTGAATACCTATTTCACCTTTTCTCCTGATGTTGCAAAGTATGCTGTGTATGGAACAGTTATTGATAAAAGATTGTGAAAGAGGCAAGACATGTAAACTCAGAAGTTTTATTTCTGTGCTGTGAGATGGAGTGTAACAGCCACCTGAAGAAATTAAATAGAATCAAAATTTAAGACAGTTGTGTTTGAGCTCAGATAGAAATTTTTTTGGTAGTCATAGAACAGTGGGGGATTCCAAGAGGGGCCTGAGCTTTGTTGAGGAGCTCTGGGAATAAAGCCCAGTGCTAGTTTGTTGTGCTTGATGTCCTTATGCAAGGCCTCGGAGATGCCAGATGATACTGAAGTGATTCATAGATGCAAAGGAAGTAACTGGTGCTGGATTTTCTGTGTAGTATTCAGGCATGCATACGTACATGCATGCAGAAAAACAGACCCCAAAACCCAGCTGTGGAATCTAGTAAGTGAATGGAATCTCCTGGAAGTCAGAAAAGGCTGAAGTTAAGGTCATCCCTGCATGCTCCCTGGTGTTTGTGATGTGTGTTGCTGCTTTGGAATGCCAAGATCTCCCAGTAAGCAAGCAAGTTGTACTAAAAGGATTTTCAGTGGCTTTAAATGTACATATAAAGCTCTTTGAAGTGGGTATTATTGTATTAATATACTTGAAAATATTAGATAAAAGCAACTCAAGATTGCATTTGTTGAGCACCCTCTAAGGAGAACCTAATACTGTTGCAGGAAAAAAATTCATTATATAATTGTATAAGTTGAATGTGTTATGTTGTAACTATGGAATATAATATGTCCAATGAAAGGAAAGTTGTGGTTTATTATATGTCCTGATCAAAGACTCTTAGCTATTCTTTTGGTCTAGTTAGGAGCTGCTTTTGTTGCTGATGTTTTGGTGGTTTAGCTGCTTTAATAAGAGGATGTTCTACCAGAACAAGTTGTCAGTGTGTCTGGTGAACCCAGAAGCTCATTCTTTTATCTTCACCAGCACAGAGACAGCTTTTTTCTTCCCGAGACATACAGAGCAAGAAAAATATATGGATAATGTTTCTGTTTGATTTTTTGCATCAGTTAACACCGGGTTTGAGTGGCTTTCCTCCTCCTGACAATTTATTCAACTCACAGAAGAATGTGACACTCAACTAGCCCAGGAGCTAAAGACAACAGCTTTTGTAGTCTGTGGGTTGTTGTCAGCAAGATTGACTTTTTCTGAGCAGCATGACGAGTTGGAACTCCTGCTGATAGGTTTAGCTTTAATAATAATGAGAAGTGGAGACAGAGTTTGCTAAATGCTGTGCCTTTCCCAGTGTAGTGTGAAAATAATTTGATCAAATCCAAGCAGGTAGGTCATGCTGGCAGTGCTGGAATGGTCTTGGCCTGGGTGATAACCTGGAGGAATGAAAGCAAAAGGAATAGTCAGCTTGATAGGGGTTGTTGATTTCTAGTTAGGAAAGGTATTGGCACAGCAGTTTTTCATCATTTTCAGTTTCTAATCTTGTTTTTAGCACTTCGTTACATCTTCTCTGTAATGTTCTCCTGTTGACCAACTTGCAGTGTTGAATTTCTACATCTCTTGCTCTTCTGCTTTCCACAGTTTTTGGGATACAGAAAGTGGGACAGGATCACCATGTTTCGAAACAGTCTCAAGATGCTTCTTACAGGAGGGAAGTCAAACCGCAAAAACAGGTCCAGTGGTAAGTAAATATCAACTCCTCATGCATGTGTTGTATTTACAGGTTCTGAAAGGATTCCTTTCATGTGTGTTTTGGTCTTACTGGGTGTTGTTTTAATTATTAGATGTACTGAGTTGATCTTGTAGACTCAAAACATCATCATGGGACATTTTAATATTGTACTGGGATTAAATAGTTTAAAATGTATGTATATTTATTTAAGAATGTATGTAAACCATAAACTTGTTTTTACGGGGGAGATAAGATGTAGGGAAAAACAAATAATAATTTGACATAATCCTCTAGTAAACTAACGTCAGTGTTCATGTTTCAGTCATGGAAATTAAGAAAATAATTACTTTTCCCATAAAAAATTACTGTTATAACTTGTGGCAGTGAAATGTTCTTCATTACAGACAATACTTGTGATAGCAGTAGCTATTTATTTTTTTTTAATGGGAAGGGATGTGATTAAGGAGAAATTGCCCAAATTTAGACACCATTTCTATTGGTCTTCTTTTTCTACCATAGCAGGAAAGGAGCTTACAGTTAGCACTGGTTCCTAGGGCTGTTTGATCCATGAAGGAGGTTGGGAGAGATTGTAATTGTGAAGCAAAACCTTAGAAAAATATTGATGCACTTGACAAACATTTCTATTGTACTTTTGTATTTCTTTCCAAAAATGGAGTACTGGCAATGTAAGAGCTTTTTAATTAGATCTTTTGTTTTTCTTTTTAAAGCCATCTGGCAGCACATTTGGAATATTTTGGGATACAGTGTTTATTTGTGCTTGTGTGTCTGTGTAAATAGTTCATATGTGTGTTCTATGGGAAGCCACAAGTGGAGATGCAGCCATACAAAGGAGAGAAGTGCAGGGGAATTAAAAATGGGCTGTTTTTCCTTGGTTGAAACAAGTTAATGTGTATTTTTCACAGCTTCAGAGTCCCTCCCTATTCCTCCTTTTTCATATCTTAGTGCCCCAAGTGTTATTTGGGGCAGGGGAATTGTGGTTTTCAGTGCTATGGCTTTGCTGTGCCCTGAGGTTGCCTTGTAGTGGCCCTGGCTTCATGCTGGCCCTTCAGCATCAGTAATCTGTTAGTCTGGTTTCTGGTGAGGGTCCCAGTTTGTGTTGGCTGATCTTGAAGATACTTGTGAAAAGTTTAAGCAGTGCATCATGGTGTTGACTTTTTTTGCATTACTTATTGTAATGAACACGTATAATGAAGCGGGGGGAAAAACGTCTGGTTTCAAAGACACTCGTGGTCATTTCAGCCTGAAGTGGTGGTGCCTTCACTGCTTTTATGAAGGAGATTCTCCTTCTGTATGAACTCCTTAGTCTTTTGGTGTGGTTGATCTGAGGGAGGTGTCTGCTTAAAAAGACACACAGGATTTGGGAAGACACGTGAGCAGATGACTCTCTCCTCTTGTGATTTTAGATCTCTGAAGTATCACATTTACAACTTAATGCCTGGGAAAGTACAAGCCCTCGGATGATACAACATTTGGAAAACTGTACATAGACCAGTCATCTCAAATTGTGGTTTCTATACAAAGATGTCTTTTTGTCAGATATTCTGATATCAGTCCCTGCTATTCCTATCTCCTGAAGCAATAATAAGGGTTTTGTCTGTGCAAGTATGTTTTTATGAGTTTCTTATTCTGTGACTGAAAAATGTCACTTCTGAAATAACCTGATTTGATCTGGCTGCACTTCTGTCTTTGAGCAGGATGGAAAAAGAGATGGGTCTTCATTAAAAAGAAGGTGGCAATATTTAATAGATGAGGTTTTCTCTAATGCCAAATTACTCTACTGTGTGTTTAATATAATTTATTACAATTCTGCCTGTGAAATAAGTTGCTTTACTGGTAAGATCTGTTTGGCAGTCCTTAGGGGAGGAGAGGGAATAAAAAAGAAAGATAAGGTTTGTTATATTAGTGTCTAAATGAAAAACATCCCTCCACTGCAAAAAATAACTTTTCAGATAAGTGTTAGCCTATCAAACTATAACATGACATTAAATGAGTTCATTGCTGCCTAGGTTTTAAAATAAATATATTTAATTCTGAATTTCTTTGCAAGATGGTAAGGAAAAAACCAATAAATCTTCCATGTACATTTCTGTGTAGCATACAGGATTGCAAGCCTGACACTTCATTTATTTATTTGCTTTGCAATTCTGGTGAAGTACAAATCTGATGCCTTAAAAGTTGATAAAAAAAGGAGAGTACTTTTCTAATAATATCAAAAAGGAATTTGTCACCCTGTCACTGGTGGTGACAGAGCTGTCCTGTGCTGCTCTGAACTACTTGACTTGATACTCATCACCTCACTTGCTTTGCTTACTAATCTACACTTCCGTGCTCCATTTCTCTTCATCCTTCCTTCCTTCCTGGTCACTTGCTATGTGAAGGGAAGGATCCCCCCACCCCTTGGAATAAGGAAACACATTTAACAGCTAGGTCTGTGTTTCATTCTATAGAACACTTTCTCATGGTGAGTGGGTACCTTCAGGTCACCTACATGGTAGGATTTTGTGGGAGCTCTTTTTGTGGAGGTGTAGGGGGGACACTGGGAGGTCTGGATTTATTTTTATTTTTTAGCCAAGCGCTTAAAGATTAGGTATTGATTTTTATTTATTTTTTAATCTATCATTAACATAATGTAACTTGCTAAATAGCAGTTAGAAATGAAGCTCCCTGATGGTTTAGATGCTCTGGTTTGCCTCGTGGCCTTAGAAGGTGTTTCACCACGGGGGAATGTGACCTGAAAGGTAGAGTCTGACAAGAGGGAGCAGGAGCTGCCCCTCAAGCAGAGGCAGATGTCTCCAGAACAACCTGTTTTCATGGGGAAACATGGAGTTCCACCCATCTCTGGGAACTGGAAGCAAACTCAAAATGCTAAGTTCTGTGTTGTGAAAGTCATCTAGTAGGGGTTTGGGGTCTGCTGCTGAGGCACCTGCCCGTGAAGATGGTACATTGCACAGGGAGGGGAGCACTTGGGGTCTCTGGTGCGTGTGGGCTTGGGTGACACTGCAGTGTTTGTATCTTAATGTCCTGCACTCCTGGCATTTTGCATTCCAGTACAGGAGTACACCTTTGAAACAGGGTTAAAGGTATTGTGGCTTTTTTACCTCGGGGAGCCCAAGTGAGAACACTGGCCTTTGAAATGACTGTTCTTGGCAGTTTCTTTGGTTTGCAGTAGCACAGTTAGCAAACGGGGTCAGTGGAGTCAGGCTGACACTCCCTAGATGTTGTGATGTGGTTTTGATAATTCTTCATGATTAAAAGAACACTGGTAGTGGTAACAGTGAAATGCTTTCTTATTATTCCTCCTTCAGAAACTGCTGAGCAACTTCTCTGAAGAGCTGAGGTTATAATTTATTTTGACTGAGCTGGGGTGGGTTTTTTCTTTGGTGCCCTTTCTGGTATTGTGGTTCAGGAACACACAACATATTTATAAAAGAAGAGTACTAATTACGTGCATATGAATGTACAGTTACAGGCAGTCATGCCAATTAAAAGAAATGAATTTCTACTGCAGCATCTGATTGTGTAATCTCCTGTGGTTAATTTTGTGTGTGTACTTTGAAAACTCAGCTGATAGGATTTCATAGCAGTGTAACTGTCTGCAGTGCAACTCTGCATTTGTATTCGTGCACATATTTAATCTCTTGTCTTAACAGAAATTCTCTTGTGACTCAAGGGCACTCAAGATACTTTGCTGTAATGCCTTAAGGACACATTAGGACTGCAATAGTATTTTGATTAGACTGTATTTTCCTCTGTCATGAATGGGTATTCCACAAGCTACCAGAAAGCAGTGCTTTTAAAGCTGAAATGGGATCTGGGCATAGTTAAGTATCACCTTTTGTTTTTCTATTCTAAATTTTATTTACAGAAATATGCAAACAGGTAAGTTCCCTGACTTGTAAGTTTGTATCCAGTGCTAAATTTACCTAGAATACATTTGCTTTAAAGCACAGTGCAGTTGTGCTTTGGTCCAACCTTTTGTTCAGTCTGGCTGAAGATCCAGCAGGAAGATTGTGGCCAGCAGCCCTATAACCAGGGCAAACAGTTGCCTTGAAACCTGAGGGGGTCACTCCTGGCTGCTGCTGCCTGCCAGAATTTCTTTTAGACTTCTTTTCCCTGATTCAGCCCTGGCAGGGTAATTTTGTTCTCTGAATCCAGAGACTATAAGGTTTTCCCATTGTTTTTATCGGTTTTATTAAAGACTTCTGTCATACTTATCATCAGTTTGCTTATGCTAAACATTCATTGGTCTGGTTATAGATTTAATTTGTTTACATCAGATCTGCTAAACATATTTATTCCAATAGAGTGTCAGTGAAATAAGCCTGTCCAATGGATCCAGCCTTTCTACCTGTTAAAATTATCTATGTTTTTTTTCCAGGCAGATGGACTATTTCCTACTTATACTATCACATTAAATTAATATGGCTTTAAGAGTTCAGATTCTTAGTAAAATACTGCTGAAAAACTGCACGTTTTATTTGGTTCTGTATTTCTCTTTGCTTTATGAGGTATAAGTCCAGTAATTTGTGCCTTTTATTTTTTGGCAGAGGCTGAGGTAGATTCTTAAAATAGTCTTTTTTTTTTTTTTTTTTTTTACATGTTAAATTTATCTCAGTCATGTCATCTACCCCAAAGGGTCTGCTTTTTTCCTTCTGAATTAGTTAGGAATTGCATCTTTCTTGTTCTTAACTGATATAACACATACCATTTTTATCTCAAGCTTTCCTGCTAGGAGCCTTCCTGCCATTCATAATATTTTTGGAGTAGGGTTTTTAAAACCTGTTCTGCTTTCCTAGTTCATGGAAGAGCCAATTACTTCTAACTTCAATGTATTTATAGGGCCTTTTGGAACCTGCCACTTCATATTTTAATTCCAGGACTAAAAGATTCCCTGTTAAGTAATGTTCTCCTTTGATTCCTGACTTTCTAAGATGAAAGGCATTTCTATGATGGTCTTATCCCTGCTTTGCCAGAACTCCAGGCAGTTT